TGACTGTTGATCCTCGCAGATCGTTCCATGTTCTTTACATCAGATTCATCACCTCTCTCATTCTATCATCTCCAACAGCCAATGGATGAGTTCCTTCAGATGAACATGTGGACTACTACTCACACCTTCATTGCCCACTGTCTTCACCACCTGGCTATCTCATCTCCAAAAAGTTACTGCCTATCCCCATTGACCATTCTACAGTCTACTCACCACCTTTAGACTGCTGAGTACCTTTCTCTTTTGTTTTTTTTACAGTATTTGATCATAGGACCCTACCATTTGGCTGGTAGTGACTCCAAGGGTATATTCATTTCCCCAAAATCTACATTGAGCCATGATAACAGAAAACACTTGTACCATTCACTCTGTCTTCATATATGCCCACTGTGAGATAGAATGATCCACAAGACCACTTGAAGTATCCTCTTAATATGTTTATATTTTGATTACTGTATGATCCAGACTATACCTGTTTCATGGGTGTGTTTTATCTGCTTGCTGGCTTTTCAGAATATGATTACATTGTCACCCATTGCACTGTATCCAGTAAAAGACCTTTCCTCCCACCTTTTTCTCTTCATTTGTCAGTTCCTTGCCACTGGGATGATTGACCATGGAGAATCCTCACCAATTCGGACCTAACTTCTGAGGCTAAAACAAGAAGTGCCAATATGGTGGAAAGTGGCCAATGATGACATTGTTAGCACACACTATAATGGTGTGCCCTTCTCCTGCAGCCAGAGTCTGATCAGTAGAGTTGAGACAAACACATAATTTGATACTGTGCCTTTCCTTCTGTAGTCTGCAACTATTCAGTTGAGTTTAGGTGAGCACACACTGTTATCCCATGCCCTCCTTCTGCAGTCATGTCTGTTAAGTAGAGTTGAAGTGAGCACGTACTATACACATATGCCCTCCTCCTGCCAACATCACCTGTTTAGTTGAGCTGAGGCAAACAAACACTAACAAATCATGCCCTCTTCCTGCAGCTAATGTCTGTCCAGTTGAGTCAGAGTGTGCACACACCATACTATTTTATGGCATGACTACAGTGCCCTCCCTCCTCAACTGTTGTTGGTCCAATCAAGTCTTATGATAGAGTTGAGGTTAGCACAAGGTATGATCTAAACATGCTCCAACCACTTTACACATACTGGCTCTCCAACCTCTTGTGTACTTGGATGGCCATGTTCTTTTTCCTCCTATCCCTGCAACACATGGGGCTCAGTTGTATCTTCCTCCCTTGTTGCCAGACACAGATTATATCCTGGAAGAGATTAGATTTAGTCTCCCACAGGTGTGCCCCTATGGAGCCTCTGCTATTAAGTATCACACTCTATTGGCATCCTTCAGGCACTTTCTTAAGGGAGCTCATCTAGGTAAATATTTGCACCAGCCCCTCCACCAGCTCAACGTGGGATTCTAGCTTAACTGTGTGCAGAAGTGTGGTATTGTCTTGGAAGTTAACATTTTCCTTACCTGAAAATGTATTTTCAATAGATACTTCTTCACACACACATTCCCACCCTTTTTTCCAACTTCTGGTGCACCTTAGTATTCCTGGCCCTGTCAAAGAATGAAGATTCATCAGTGAAAATCCATAGAGGGAGTTAGTGCACAAGGAGATGTGTCACCATCCTATTCATGGAGGGCTTTTGCTGTGATGTCATTATGCAGTAGTGCAACTCTCAAGAATTCTTGTGAAATTAGTTGGGAGTTCACTAAAGGCTAGTAGCATGCAAATCTCTTAAGGCAAATGTGAGGGGAAGATAACTTAACTGTGTAAGGAGATGAGAATATATTGAAAATACATTTTTAGGCAAGAAAAATATTAACATTTCTAATCGGCTCTTTACAATACTTCTAACTTGTCATTATCAGGGTAATTTCATTTTATAAATTGCAGGTGTGAATTTTTGAAATAAATACACAATTGCAAATATGTATGTGTAATATTAAATAAAATTCTTTAATTGAAAACAACACATTTTGATGTTATCAGTCTTCAAATGTGCATAACCTATATATTAATCCAGATAAATAAAAATATGATAATGTGACTTGTGGTTATTATTCAAATACTGTCCAAAATGTAAGGTATTCTTTATTTGAGATGTTGATATTCACCACACTCTGATTGGATCGATCCTGCTATTCGCATGTTCCAAGAACCCCTTTTTCATTCCGGATATAGCATACTGTGTTATAATAGGCCAGAGATTCTAAGAAAGCTAGAGGCTCCATTAGAGAGATGGAAATAAAGAAGATACTTGCATGAAACAAAACCACAAATGTGGTTTTAGGGAAAAAGTATTGAAATGATCATTTAATGACAAGGTAAAATAGAAAAAAAATGCTTAAAATTCTAGTCGACCCATGGGTCTTTCAGTTGATTAGGGCTGACTAAATGATGCAAATTTTGGAAGCTGGTTATAAGATATCATAATTAACGTTTAATATTTTGTTAGCTTGTTAAAGAACCTGCATATTCCAAAAGCTCACAAGTTATTGGTCTTTCTTGTAAATTATCTAGTTTTTATAATTTTATTTGGTAGTGACGTTTTATGTATCCAAGTACAATTTTACAGATACACAGATGTGAAATGTAAAAAAAATTGTGTCGTCCTATATAGTTTTCATTATTTTTTATTTTAAATAATTTTATGTGTATGTGAAGCTGGTATTGTCAATAGACATAAATGAATTTAAACAGCTTTCATGTAGCAGTTTCATATTTAATATAATTTAAAAGCCATAAAGATATAAAACAAAAGATACTAATGACAGGGATCCATTTTATCCTTCAAGGCTGCCTTGTACACCCACCCACCCTTGAGAAGAGTAAACATTTAAAACCACCCCTTTTTTCAAGAAATCTTTGATTTCTTTCTTAAACTCCTGAAATGTATAGTTTTTTAGTGTAAACTAACACTTAATTTACATTCAGAAATTGAGACTAGTGCTGGTTGATAATGTTGATTAGTGGAACTTAATAATGGATTAATCATCGGGCTCATTTATTGATTACATTCAATTAACTGATTCTTGAAACTTGGATAGATAGGATAGGAAATGTTAATTTTGATTAGTTGATTATTTTCATGAATTGTGAGACTAATTGATAAGCTGAATGACCTTGAATTAATCAAAAATAGTAAAGATTAACTGATTGTTTTATGGGACACTAATTGATGGTCCGTAGGTAATTGGTTATATCAATTAATTGAGGTATTTGACCAGCTCTAATTGAAATTGTAGTAAATTATTTACTGAGTCTTATTGAGTGCACATGCACAATTTATTGAGATTAGCAGTGTTAGAGGAGAAAAAAAAACAACTTTTTTTTGTATATTGTGTAAAGCTAAAAACTTAATTTATGCAAATTTAAACACTGACTAAAACTTGTTTTTTTAAGCTCCTAAAAATTTGATACACTTTGTTTTTGCCCTGAGTAGTTGTGATCCTGTGTATTCAGGATACCAGTAGAATATATTTTTGTTATTGATAACTTCTGTATAGAAGTCATATTGTCTTCTGTTTGTCGTATTTTTTATATGAATGAATTATCATATTTGTGGTAGTCAGAACACTATACCCGTGGCTCTAAACAAGATAAAGGTGACCCCAGGCCTGAAGTAGAGTTTTAAAAGGTTGTCATGTTATCTCAGCTAAAGGATGACAGTGAAAGAGGAGGAGCAGTGGTGGTGCTGATAATGATAGTTTGGGGAATGTGGATTAGCTTGACTTGAGGGACAAAATTCAGTTGGGTTGATTATAGGTGTTCTGTAATTGATACGAAGATTGTTTGAGGATTTAGTGAAACCATACACAGAGTGTCATGTTATATGATTTACACTGGATCTGCATAAGAAGTATCTTTGAAACATCTGCAGCATTGGTAAGAAGTATAATATAAAATGTTAACTGTGTCTACCACATTCATTGTTACAAATTATGTTTTAAGTTTTATAACAATTATTTTGTTATGATTTCTAAAAATGAATAGTATAGTGAGAATTGAGGTCCTTGTAAATAGCTTATCGGTTCTATTGCAGGTTTGAGAAAAGGAGGAAATTTTAGTCTCTTAGAAGTTTTATGTTGATAATAGTCTTTGTGTGTAAACTTCAAGTTTTTGTTCTTTTTTTTTTCCAACATTCTATTCATACAAGTTAAGAATAATAGAAGACTATGAAACCATACAAAACTTTTCTTAGTTTTTTTTCATGTAAATGATATGTCCCCTTTTTGAAATATCTTTATCCTGAAAATGGATATGACTGAGTTCAGTATTAATAAAGTGTCTGTAAAACCATAGTTCATACATTACCAAAATAATGTGATATAAGATCTACATCAATATTCATTAGCATAACTTTTGTACCAAAAGAATAGAGAACATTGGCATCTCATGAAATATAAAGTATCTGTTTGATTGTTACATATGCTACATCTTATTGATGTGGAAGTCCGACAAAAACAAAACAAAATAGACGTGAATAAGAGTTTATTAAAATTAAAATAGATAAAAAATGATATACCATAAAACATAATTCAAAAGAAGAACAATACAAAAACGTCATATACAATTACTGTTAGGAATAGTATTCTACAGGTCACTTGATGTAGGCTTAAGGTCAAAGTAATATTTAGTACGTGTGGACATGAGAGTTTTAAGGGTAAGAAAGTAAAAAATTTATACGAAATAATTGTGACCATTCAAAAAATCTGGAAGATAGCAAGCAAAAAAATTGTGATAAAATTATATTTAATTTGATTTGATTACAAAATATTTCTATAAAAGAATATATAAGTCTATAAACCTTCTTGTATTTATTGTTAAACTTTGTCAAGTTATGCCCCATTTGTTAATAATCAGTCATTTAATATATATTTTTAACATTATTATACTTATGAACAGTTATAAAAAATTTTTAAAAATATTTTGTGTATTGTTATTTTTTTAAACATACTGATCAGATATTATTTGTTATGATAAGCGATTAGGATGGAAGAAAGTCCGAAATGCTGTACACTGGTGTCCATTTCTTCAGACTTACAGAAAACAAAAGTATCCTTGGGTTCAGTTGGCTGGTCATCAAGGTATGTTGGAGAATTGTTAAGTTTCAATCCATGTTTTCAGATCTTGAGGAAACAAATACCTTTAGTTTCAAGTGACAGGTTTTCAAGGTATATGGGAAAATGGTCAAGTTTCAGTCCATATTTTCAGATGTACAGGAAACAAATACCTTTAGTTTCAACTGAAGGTTTGTTTATCAAGGTATATGGAAAATTTGTCAAAGCACCCATAGTTTCAACAGGTTGCTTGTTAAAGAATGCTTGAAGTTTGTTGAGTTTTGATCCGTGTTTTCAGATTTTCAGGAAACAAGTACCCATGGTTTCAACCATTTTGTTAAGGTTAGTGGTAAAGCTGTGAGTTACGTTTTGAATTCAGAAGGGGGAATATGAAAAAATAACTTGTATATTTTGTTGGTTTGAAATTATGTATGTCTGACTATACATGAGTAATTGTTTATAAGAAAGAAACAGCTTGTAAAATACTTTGTCAAGTTACTCATCTCATTTCAGTGTGCCAGTTATTTTCTTTGAATAGTCTGTGAGGCAAACTTATTGTTTTGTAGTTTTAATTAGATGTCTCCTCCAGCAGCAGCACTAAAGATTTTACACAAGTGGGCTGACATTGTGAGGTGTCAGTGTTAACTTTTGAAGGTACAAGCAAATGGTTGCTTATTTTTTTTCTCGTCTTGACTCCTACTAGCAAAAACATTATTCTTCTCTAAATTTATTTGCAACTCTGTTGTAATTAAGTATTTTATGTATTGAGTGTTATTAAATATATATATATTTATATCCTATTTATATATATAAATCTTCTGTGTTGTGTTTTCTTTTTAAATATTTTTGAATACTAAAACTCATTTGAATTACATGTAACAGTTTTTTATTTTAATGATTTCACAAAAGTTAAAATTATGCCTGATATTTGGGTGGAATCTACTATATCTAGGCCACAAGCTCCCACATTGACAAAGTTTAAAGTATCCCACTGCTGATGGTCACCACATACTAAAGTATTTTATTATTAAAAATTATTGTGTAAACTACAAAACTGGTGAAGTATTAAAACCCAGTAGGCCTAATATTTAAGTTAATCATAGATAATGTTGAAAAAAATATTTGCTGTTTAGGTGATTCCTATTTTATTATTACCTCCAATAAACAACCACTTAGAAAAAATTTTGAATCATGCTGTTAAATATGCACTATAGAAGCCAGATGGTGTGGCTTTTGCCTGCTGGCCCACATGCTAATTGCCTTAGCAACCAAGCAAGCTAGCTGAAAATGCAGTCTCATTATCTTCATTTCCTGATAGTTAGGCTGAGTATCCTGTACAGCTAAAAGGGGATCATAAAACTGGCAAGTGGAACACTTCGTGAGGCTGCTCATCTGGTTTTATTATGTCAGTTGAATTGTATGTGAGGCTATTAATAGCAACTATGGTAACCTTCTGTACTTAGAATCCTACAATATGAATGACTGAAATGCATGTTTCATGGGAGTATAGATACTCAATAGTAAGAATCTGCAAATATTTTGAAAGATGTCCTACTAATTTTTCTAGTGCCTTCTAAGTTTCATTAGTAAAACTTCATCACTAACCAGCAACTTGCTGGTGTTAATTTCAAACTGTGGTTGCTGATTATAATGGATTAAATAGAAAATTGATCTGCTGTATATTGTCAATTTAGCTTTAAGGATGCATGCTTATTTAATGTTGTCATAGTATTATATTTTTATCAGGTAATTTTAGAGTTGGAGAGCAAGGGACTATATTAAAGAAATTGTGTGGAAGAGAAGAGATTTGTTTGAAGAAGTTGATGAATGATGCACTAAAGCCTTTTGTACCTGAATTCAAAGGAAGAGTTGAAACTGAAGAAGGAGAAAGCAAGTTGTTTTATTGTCTCTCAATTTTAAAATCATTTATATTTCCATGTAATTGCTTTTTTAAAGTCTAATAATTATATATAATAAAAAATCAGTAGAAAAATATTTTTAATTGTAAATGAAAATAAAAGTGACTTAATGAAAACAAAATTGAACTTTGATTTAATATTTCAAATGCCATTAACTTGGATTTGCTTTATAAATCAGTTATATTTAATATTTTTAAAGTTGTTTGTAGGAATATATATATATATTAACAGTTTAAAATGTCTGTTAGTCTTCAGCTTACATTATTACAGTCACCTAAAAGTAAATGTAACTTATTATCACCAATTATTTTTGAAAGTTGTGAGTTTTAAATATATATATCGTAGAGCAAGATAAATTTGATGTTTACTGATAATAGAAAAATATAAATCAAACTGTTTAATTACATCCTTTTATTGTTTGCTGTGTGTCTTATGAATAACAAATACACATTATAATGTACAGTTATTAGAATACAAGCCATTATGATAACATTTTAATTAGAGAAACTCATGTGTTGATATTGTGGAAGCTACATTTAATGTTTTCAGCACTTTTGTTGCAGTTCATGTTATCTTTACACATTGTGTGCTATCTAAATTGCTGATAAACATCTTCCCAATACTTAAGAAAATTTGAACTAATCTTGGTACTTGATTACTCTAGAGAGAAAACTAATACAATCGTTGCCTTGTGCTATTTTTGCATATGAACTAGGCAACAATAGCATCATTATATGAGTTTTCATAAGCTGTGATTTTAAGTATGTTGGACAGTAACAGAAAAGAATGTTGTCATTGTTTGTTTGTTCTTACGATACTCAGATATGTTATTTTATCGCTGTTTTTCTGTCTCTATATTCATCTGTCTGTTCATTTAGCTAATGAGATTAATTGAGCACAGATAGATATAATAAAGTGAAAAAAAGTAATAGAATGAGAATGAATAATACTTTGTGTTTAATTTGAGCATCAAAGTTGTTTTTAGTATTATGCTGACTGAGGTAAAATCAGTGTCAGAAGTCCAGAATTTACTGCCTTTATTATGGATGCTCACAAACCTGAAGTTTAGATATACTTCCAGGAGATGTTGTAAATTAGTAACAAAATTACTATTTGATTCACTTGTCAAAAATCATGAAGATTGAAATAATTTGAAAAGCATTTTTTTACATATAGTTTCGTGATAGATGATAATATTCTTAGAAATTCGTTGATCCAATCAGGTGTTCAGATGTTAAATGTTCAAAGAAAAATTAATTTATCAGAGTATCAGTTTTAGTTATCTTATTCTCAATAATGTAACCTGTATTTTTTTAAATCTAGACTGATAGATCAAATACATGTAGACAAAAACAACACATATATACGCTTATCAGTGATGAATAAATGTTAGATATTGACAGTAGATTGGTATTATAAACTACATTGTCAATTTCAATTGGAAATGAACCAGTAGGTGGAGTTTAGAAAGATAAATAGTGTTGAGTACAAGCTTTAATCGAAAATATTATAATTTTTTCAAAAACCATTGTTGTTTTAGTCTTTATTATAAACTTGCAAATTATAAATTTTATAAGATTTCAAATCATTTATGTATTGTCTGTTTTTCCCGGCTACTAAGATCTTGCATAATGAAGTGTGTTCTAGTGTACTTATAGTAAAAATTAATTGTAGAAGAAAGTTTTTATGTCCAGTTTGAGTAAAAATGGATGAATTAGTTGAGAAAGCTAGTCTTATGTTAACTCCTGGATTTCAGTTTACTTAGAACTCCAAGATCTTCTGGCTGGATTTGATAGAGCTTGTGTTATGGATGTTAAAATTGGACTTCGCACATATTTAGAGGAAGAACTTGCTAAAGCAAAGGAGGAGCTAAAATTAAGAAAAGTAAGTAAATAAAAAAATAAATAAAAATTTTGCTTGATACTAAATGTTTTTAAGTAATGAGTACATGTAATACATCAAGCCAAGATCATTTGATGATGTTCAATATTTGATTACTTTAAGTCTCATATGTTCTTTGCAGTCAGATAAATTACTTGTACATTGCTAGCAAATGTCTATGCATGGTGTGGAATTTATATAGTTGGTTTCATGAGGATAGCAGGACAGTGTGCATGCATGTTGTCTGTAAACTGACATAAAGATCTACTGAATAAGGGTGATCAGCAAAGGTACCAACACTATGTGCAGCATTGAACATCACCTTATTTTGGTGTCAGCTTTACATAATAAAAATTAAAATTGCTGCCAAACGTGACCTTTTTGTCTGATTTCTTATCCATGTAAGCTCAGTCTTTGAGAGGTTCATATAAGTGCCTCTGCCAAATTTCATCAAAGTAGGTTAAGCCAGTTCCTCACAACAACTTCTTGACAGATGCACCTCTCTCTAAGTAGAAGATATCTTATTATCACAAAAAAAAGTCAGTCATGATTCTCAACAAATTAATTTTGAAATGTAATTTAAGGAATACTGTAAAACATTTTCTCAAAAAAAAAAATTGAGTACAATAATTACAAGTGAAAAGATGTTGATACATTTTTTACTCTTGATGTTTTGTTTTTCAGTTTCTGATTTATTTCTGATTTGATTAAACTTGAGTTTTGTTTCATGAATATTTGTTTTGAAAAGTCCTTTCAGGTAAATAATTTTTCTTACAAACATTTGTTAAACTATTCAAGTGTAACATGTTCTAACTAATGGATTTGAATAAAATTTTCTTAAAAACATATATATTCAGACCCAAGCTTTTAAGCTGAAGTTGCATCATTATGTAAATTCTGTTGGAAATGTTAACTTATTTAATTATCTTTTTTATTTATTCAGGATATGTATGAGAAAATGGTTCAGATTGATCCGTCTGAACCAACAGAAGAAGAACGGAGTTTAAAGGCAATAACAAAGCCTCGTTACATGGTGTGGCGAGAATCTATCAGTTCAACGGCAACACTTGGTTTCAGAGTGGAGGGAATTAAGGTCTTTTTTTCTTTTTTTTTATCAAACTGTGTTTTTCACATTCAAATTCAACGATGCTAAGTTGATGAGATGCAGACTAAAATTTGAGATTGACTTAAAGTTACCATTATAGTGATTTCTTTCTGGACTTTATCTGTTTGGTGTCTAGTCACTCTGACCATGTTCTTGTGATCTTACAATGGTCCACTTAAAGTAATACTGATAAAATATGGAAATACCACTGTAACTATAGCACTTTCTAAAAGTATTGTCAAAGGTCATACAGTTAATCTTTTTTTTCTGTTCTCTTTCATCTTACATGTTTATTTTTGTATATGATTATAGTGCTTATGTACTTTTTATTGTCAGTGTGATCTTAAATGTAGATATACCATAAATGCTACATAGATCTCTAAATTAAAATGATTGAAAATATAAAAGGAAGATATCATGGCATTTGTGTAAAAAATTTAAACACATTCTACATGTATCTAGAAACCACGTGATTTATTATATATGTAGAACATCTTAAGCTTTCATCAATAAAAACACAATATGAAACTTTTTCCATACTGTTTTTCAACCCCAAGTTAGAAAATACCCAAACATTCATGGAAATACATTATATGTAACATTAACAATTAATAAACAAAATTTGTATACATAAATATGCAGCTTCAAAAGTGAAACTCATATGAAAGTTGTATATATATTTAATACATTCAGAGTCTAATGTGAACTTGAATGAGGTAAGAAATATATATATGACAAATCTCACTTTTTTTGAAAATCAGACTCGAAGAACATCAATATGCGTAGGGATGAATTTGAGAAATAGACTTTAGCATGTCATCAATTTGAATCGGGAAATAATATACTTTTGGATGAAAATTTTCTCCTCTACCAACCCAAAAACGAAAACAATTGTTCAGGAACAATAGAAAGTGTTAAAGCAAAACCATGACAGTGGCCCTAGTAACATCACCAAAACATCTAACTTTTGTTCACACACTTGAACAGCCTTGACCTCTTCTTTAAGTCATAAACCTGTTGTAAGTTTCACTGCTGTCATGTGACAACATCCCTGTATATCATAAACACTTGTGCCTCTTGTCTTTGCTTATATTGAATTTGTATATAAACCCTGCATGCTTAGTTCTATATAATACCTTATGAAAAAAGACCATTGTTTGTCAGTTTACTATCAACAGAAAGTACTGTGTACTACCATGGTTTGTTGTGTAGTTTTGATGAAATTACATCTGGCTAATAACCATTCTTTTTTTCTTGAGCATCGTGCGTGCTCACCTTGTGTTTTATTTCTCTGACAGAAATTGAATTTTAGTTGAAAATGAAAGAAAAATTTTGTAGCATCATATGACTACTCTTCTGTTTATAAGTGAAATTTGTAAAAATAAAAAATCCTCAAAATTAAGTTTTCAATTCTTTTATAATATAGATAATTCATAATCAATTAACCACTAACCATGTAATTACAAACTATGTTATGACATTTGTAAAACAAAAAAGAAAACAACTTTAAAAAATAATTGGTTTAATTAAAACCAACCCTCACCTTCATATATAATCTCAAGCAATAAAACAAGTCTAGTGGAAAGTAATTAGTAAGGCTAATATAACCTTTTAAAAGTTTATTAATAGTTATTAATAATAGTAAATAAAAATAACTGGGAAATATAGTCGTAAGTTAAATGATGTGGGCGTTTTAATTATTTTTTAGAAATATTTAAAGACAATATCAGCAGTTTATTTTTAACCTCAGTCAGCACATGACTGATTAGAAATATATTATTTTTTATTCAAGTGTTGATATTATTAAGCACAGTTAATTTGTGTAATTGATCAAGCTTTTGCAACAGAGTACTTAGAAAAAAAAATCCTTTGAGTAGAATTTGTCATGTATTTTGCATCAAGTGTATGGTATTTGTGGGAAAAGTTTTTGAATTATTGTATTTTATGTTATAATTATGTCAGCTTTACAGACTTTCATAACTTGACATGGGATGTAATAAACATTTTGTGTTTGTTTTGAAATCTGATGCTTTTGAACCTGTGTAATAGAAGTACATTGTTGATGTTTTTCTTTCCTCATAGAGAGCTGATGGCTCTTCCAGCAAGGATTTCAAGAAAACCAAAACTAAAGATCAAGTTTTAGCAGCCTTGAGAACTTTTACACATGGTTATCCTAATGCTGTGGTGAGTTCTTTGAATATACTGATGAGCTTGAAGACTGATAATGGACACTTGAATAACAAAAACTTATTTTTTGATATCAAAATGTAAGACTTGGATGTAAGAATAATATGCTTTGTTTTTGTCAGTTTTTAAATTAGCTGATATTTATGTCATTTTAAACCATGTGTATGCTTATTAAGCATAACCTAAATTAGTCTTTTTTTATTTGATGAAAATGTGGTACTTTATGTAAGTCTAGGTTTTGTGTTGCTACTTCAGCTGGTTGTATGTTTTTTATTTTAAAATC